TATAATCCTTTTTTTTCTTGTTCCGTGATCACGCAAATTATGTTTGGGGGATCTGTAGGTTAGGTTATAATTATAGTTAATTTCATGAATATTTTATAACAGTTAATATAGGACATAGGTAATACTGTTGCTTATAAAATATAATATACGTATGGTTTATGAAAAATAAAATAAAAATATAATGTAATATGGTATAATTTATTGACTATAATATTGCTATATTTTTGTGTATAGAACAATATAGAAAATTACCTATATATTAATCAATCTTGAAAAATTAAATATAATATACGTATAAATGTATAATGATAGTTTATGAACCATTATATAATAAAATAATAATTACACAAAGTACACGATATAGGTATTGTCCATTTCATGAAATGGATGTCCATATAATGTATTTTCGTCAAAATTCACTATCTGGACGAATTTCGCTATCTGGATATCCAGTTCATGAAATGAGTAGTTTCACTATGTGGATGCGACATATCGATCGAATAAACAAAAAACACTTGGATTAAATATAAGGCGATCGAATCATAATTATTATGAAAAAAACATTATTATTTCTATTAAAATTGATATTTATTATTTAGGTACATATTTAAATACCTACTTAATACTTTGACGTCGTTAAGATTGACTTTGAAAAATCTCAATTTTATCATTTTCTAATTTTTACAGTTAGATCAGTGAAAAAATAAGAAACAGAAAGAATATTTATTTTAAGCAGGATATAACGTTCTTAGTATTATATTTGTGTGATATTTTTAATTTAAAGCAAATTAAAATTTTTTTGTAATTTTTTGGAGTTAATAATAAATTTTAATTTTATCAAATAAAATACAATTTTTTAACATATGTATGTAATTTTATTAATTTTTCGTGTGTTTTTCAAGATTTTTAAGTCCACAAGTAAGTTGTATTTATGAAAACTCCATCAATGGTCAAATAAAATTATGATATTGTATTTTTTTTAGAGTACTTTTTGAAATTTGTATGACATTTGAGTACATTTGTCTTATATTGCATAAAAACAAAACAAAGATTAATAAAAAAGTAAGTCTAAATGTAATGTTAACTCAAACCACGCACCACTAAAAATTTAACTGATGGGAGTATTGGGAGTTAATGAGTTTTTTTATTTTGCTTCGTCATTATATTATTATTTTCACGTATGTTTTGACCTATGTAGGTAATAGGTAGTAGACAAAAGCGGTGATGGTTGCACTATGGTCGGACAATAATGACTTTTTGTTCCACAATAAAGGCAGGCGATTTTGGGGCCCAGGTCAAATAAAAGGCTGCGAGCTCCTGGATATAATACATTTTTTTTTTATCCCCTCAAATTTTCTTCATAAAATATAAAAAAATATCACATTTTCACATTTATCGTTTATTAATAAATCTAATAACACTACATTTATTATACAATAAAATATTTTTATATCAAATGTGAAGCAATATTCTAGAAGTACGGTCGGTGGTACTAAAAGTCTTAGTAGTACAGCAAATGCTCGTTTGTTAGAAATTATATCTCAAAATCTAGATTTAGATGGCACGGTGGACGAGATACTACATGATTTAATTTCTTCAATGGTGAGTGATTTATGGTTAAACTCTTCTTTATCAATTGAAAAGCAATATGTTGAATATGGACTTTTTGTTTGAGATTTTGTAATGTATCTTCAGGTGTCCCCCAAGGGTAACATACTTCAAAGCTATTATTTAACTTGTTCTTGAAGGATATTCGACTGGTATATGCTATTATTTGCTGATACATTTAAATTAATTTGCATCATTAAAACCTCTGATGATACCTTATTCCTACAAAACAATTAAATAAATTATTTTTGGTCACTGCACATTCTCGTTTAACTTTATAAGAAATTTATATATATGTACAGTAAAACCTCGAGTAATCGACTCGGTTATGGTATAAAAATTCAATTTATCGAACATTTGAGTTGCAGAAAAATATGCTTTGCGTATTGAAATGCAAGGGCTCAGATACATATCAGATATATTCCTTATAATAATAAAGTTATCAAAATTTGTTTTAAGAGTTCGAGTGTTGATATTCAACTGTACGTATGTAATATGTACATATCTTTTATTTTAAATTTGATGAGACGAGATATGAAATACCTCAGTTGACCGCTAACTCTGGATAGTGACCCAGAGGAGGTTGACATTATTGGCGATGGCCAGCAGGATGCCCCGCCTGTGGGCCAATGCTTCAAAAACGTATAACTGTAGATATTTGAAATTTTCACCAAATGTATGTAATACGTCAAGTTTCTTCATAAGCTGTTGTAGAAACAGTTGAAAAATACTAAGAATACAATATATACATGGGTTTTTTTTAAGCATTTTGACAAAAATAAAGTTTGCAAATTATGTTGTAGTTAAAAAAATTATGATATGCTCAATTTTTATAGTTAAAACATATTTTGTTTCGGATTATGCAATTAAAAACATAAATAAATATATTGAGTTTATTATTTATGGATGGTTCCCTCGTTTTCATCCATCTTACGTCTTTACCACCAGCGACCTTCACATATTATAGTATTTGTTTTTTCGCATCTCAGTTTTTACTATAGACTATAGTTAATGTAAAACTAATAGTTTTGAAAACCATTTTAGTAATTGTATTATTTTTAATTCTGAGTAACTTTGCTCCACTGAATGTGTCGATATTATAATTATAATTTTATAATGGCTTTTTTTTTTTTTAATATTGATGTGAAAAAATAAATTTTAAAAACATGTAAGAAAATATTTCTCAATTTAATTTTATGACGAATTTAAATATGTTTTCAGAAATGTTATCAAATAAATATCTATATAAGTTAATACGATTGGAACAATTAGTGCATTAGGCTAAAAAATAATAATTAATGTATTGTGCAGGAGCGGAAATACTCCGCCTTCATTTCCACACACTCCGATCACATACCACCAATAATCACTTACTACAGTATACACACGCATTTACACAACCCGAATTTTTACTCATAGAAAATTGTGTACTATGTGTCGATTTTTCAATAATATCATAAATTCAATTATTATCATTTATTTTTTCAGTGAAACTTCTTTAGGCGCAGTAGCGTAAATCGGATTGATGTGCTCAACCGTTGAGACCAATAAACGTAACGGGCGTGGTTTACTAGACACTAATGGTTTCTATGGTAATTAATAATAATCCATTTGTCTTATTTTTTTAGAGTAATTAGTAATAATAAATACATTGAAATTGAAAATTTTTTTTCTTCTCCGATATAAATTTTATATTTGAGCGTGATGAGCGATAAATTTTTTTTGCAACGCCCACTTTTTTTAAATAAAAATAATTTTAGCTGCATATCTTGGTACTTAATTAGAATTTAATATTTTAAGAATTTTGAGTGCATATTATGTATGTTCTAAACAATATTATAGTAATAACTAATATTCCACTTAACTGTGGGATTGCTTAGCGGTGTTTAAAAAACGATTCAAAACTATAATCTATAATGAAAATTAATAGATCGAGAGACAGTGTCTGTTATAATAATTAATAATATGTAAGTAAGGTATTCACTTTGTCTTCTGAGGGCGGAAAGTCAGACGAGTTTTCGCCATCAGCGTCATATGGATTTTATGGAACATAAACTATATACTGCACGTGTTTTGCTTGATTATAATATCACAACTTTGCAAATTTTAAAAATTTTAAAAGTAAGTAGTGCTTCCTTCTCCAAAAAAAGGTACATATCTTGGTTTTATCTCATATTTACGAAAAAAAATTGTTTAGCTCTAATATTGGCCATATATCGGTGGTTTTATTTCGTTACTATGCGGTTGACTCTGTGGTCGACCTGCAAAATTACCAGTTATTTATACTATCCAATGGTATTAAACAAATCACGGACTATAGGATCATAAAATAGAGAATTTAGAATTATCTGAGCAACACTGAATGAAGTTACGGATAAATGAAAACTCTATGTCGTGTACTACTTACGTATGAAAATATTACAGAATTTCGACATTTTTCCGGATTGGTTATCACCGTCATCAAATGCAGGTCGTTTTCGCTTGTTGTCCATTTTCGAGTGTAATTTAAAAAAATTACAATTTTATTTTACTTATTTAATTGTAATACTATCGATTTAAATATAAGAACAAAAACTATGCTGTTATTGAAGTTTAACTGAAGAATAACAATTGAATATTATTTACAGTCGAAACCGAGTCACCCGTCAGTTACCGTGGTTGCGCTTTTCGATGTTTTTTTTTCATTTTCAGCCATCGACAATACAAACAGTTTAGATAGGTTTTATTATTATTTTATTATTTTAACACAGATTCAAGTAAAAAATAAACATTTATATAATATTTCAACTGCACCAAAAAATATCAGTAACTTTCCTAGTTGCATTTAACTGCATTTGTATGTATTTGCATTAAACATCTAAACTTCCTCATCACAAAATTTTCTGTTTAACGGAATATTTCTGAGAAATAAACTTAGTTTATTTTGATAATTATATTTAACAAATGTCGGTATGTTACGATTTTTTTTGATGCAACAAGACATTGCAATATGGGAGTCTCACTCCTACAATAAATTATTATGGGCAGAAAAAATATTATGTTTACATTTTTACATACTTAGGTGACTTGAGTGGAGGACTGCTAACACACGGTAGGTACAATTAGGTTTAAATACTTCTATATATTTTTATATAATATTATCACGATCCATTTTGCAAATTATAATACAATACGTAAGTAATCAAAAACACATTATTTTTTTAAACTGAAATTGTTTTTAACATAATATTATATAATAATTATTACCTTAGTTGTGTACGTGTCTAATTTATGTTAAGAACTTTAAGAATATCAATAAAGCTACATGGATTAAATCTTATTATCAATAATTGTTACTGTAGATGGTGTGTATGACATATGTAAATAACAAAGATGAATTTAAAAACTCCACTCTTGTATTCATAGTATATTATTAATAATACATAAATATTTTATGTATGACAACCTTATCAACTTTTTTAATCGGGTATTGGGTGATCTATAGCAAAATGGTTCCCAATTTATACTGACCGTGTGTTCTGCAGAAGTATAATGTGATGATCGGTTACCTAATACTCCTGCGTGAAAACTCGTGCATGAAATTTTGTTCCAATTCAAGTCGTTGTAGGTTACTTGATCACTCGGTGAATAATATTGGCGATGTGACATTTTTAAAATCCGGACCACCATTTGGTTTTTGAAATAACCTCTAAATCTTGGTAGAGTATGTCATAAGCTGTACCTTAATCAAAATTAAATTTAAATTAGACAAATCCGGGTAAATATGTTTGTTGTACACATGAGAGTTGGAATATACAAATGTTTCTATTTGTAGATCATTTAAAAAATCAGTATGAGGAATTTTTTTGCGGAATGGTGTTACATATAAAAATTTTAAGACATAATTTTTAAGTGACGCTCCTTAATAAAAATCGATAAATGGTCCATATTGCAGTAATTATAAAATGATTTTTGCATAGAATAGGAGTACTCGTTGAATTATCCTAAGTATGTACCTAGATAAAGTAATTTTCTAATATTTAAAAAGTATTTTGAAAAAACTTTTTATGGAGTTCTAGGACATAGATATTAAAGAATAAATCCTACATTGGCTCAGGCACCGGCTATCAAATTCTATACTGATAAGTTTGGTACATTTAACGATAACTCGTTTCTTTCGAATTTAAAATATAAGCCACTAAATTATTTTAACTCTAACATAATAATTTCTAGTTGATTTTGTTTCATAAATATTTTTTTGACTTACACTTTCTATTGGTTTGGGGTTACTTACAGGACTCCCTATTAAATAAAATAATCTGTGACCAAACAAAACCATCATCATCGTTAGAACTTTTAGATCCTACTCTGTATTCAGTACATTGATCTCATCACATATAAAACACGCTTTGACTCAATAAATGAAAATGAATTGCAAAATGAAGTGAGATCTTTGCCTGTTAATAAAATAAAACAAATCATGCACATGTGCATTGTGTACAAGCAGAGCCTCGTATAACAGGGATCAAGGTGAGAGGTGGCAATTGCCCCAGGGTGCCCATGATGCCCAGGGGCTAGGGCTGCAATTTCAATGTTTTGTTGTTAGTGGCTTTTAGTTTGTGAATCAGACACAGCGAAGAGCTCTGTGATCTATTAAATAATTGCTTACATACTCGTATTATGAAAGGTTTATTTTTAAACATTTAAGTTCTAGTAAAATAGGTATTCGACTATTTACCATTGACAGTCGAGTGTCGACTATAGTCAATAGCCATGAACAAGTCATTAGGTTTTATTCTATTATAAACGATAAATGGATAATATAATGTTATTACTAATGAATTTTACAATATACATTATTGTGTTTAGATTTTATTCGATTATATAATGGTTATTATTTTACAATAGATAATCAATACTATTATTGTTATTATTGTTATTTTAATATTATAATATTTTGAAATTGTTTTGACATAATTTCAACCGAGCTGTTTGTTCTTATAATTTATTATAAATACTAATAACGACATTTTACAGAATTATTAACCGAATATCCAATCAAAATTATGTCCCACATGTTTGCCCATTCACCCATTTGTATAAAACCTTAATTTGAATGGAAAATTAATTTTTTTGTCTATGATGAATGGTTCGATGAAAAACAGTTATAACTCGATTTGAATAAGTAATATATTATCCAATTTAAAATAAAACTTTTATTTTTACTATTTGTAGGATATTTTGAATGTATTTCAGATAATTTAAAAAAAATTGTATTTATTTATTTTAAGTGCGTATTAAAAATATTTTAAGAGTAATACATAATTAGGTTAACATTTATTTTGATACAATTATTAAAACAAACATATTTCACAATACTTTTGAGTTTTGAGCAATTAGGAAACGATTATATTCTTTATTAAAAAATGATCAAATGCCTGCTTTACTTGATAAAAATGTGTTATTGCCATCCATATTAAATATAGAGTACTTACAATATTTTGCAACAAATCAATTGGACGGACGTCATTCATAAATTAGCAATTTTGAAATCAAGGAAAAAATTAAATACAAGTTGAAAAACTACAAATGCATTTGAATTTGCTATTTTTAGTTTTTGATTATATTAATATTTATTAAAATTTGTGCTTCGTTCATAATTCAAAGTATGAACAAATTTATTCATAGTTGTAAAAGTTCAAAATCAAAATTAATAAAACTACCATATTAAGTTCAAAACGATTTAAAAATATTTATAAAACATATTTTCCCGTATGGATGTATCTGGGACTTCATTGATAATATGTCTTATAATTAATGATAATCAGTGTGCTACATTTATTATGCTGACAGAGCATTATATTATTGCGTATGATATAATAATTACAAATTATGACGAATAATAGAAGCGTTTAGCAGTCTTAACTATAAGTTTTAATTCACTGTTTGATTACAATAAATAATAATCACACTTGACAGTATAATAATACAATTATATTATATTGTATGGATGTAGAGTTTACCACTTAAAACTTTAAAATTTTGGGTAGGTACTAAAATTTAATAGTGTGCTTGGTTACAAGCTAAAAAAGTTATCTAATAGAATAAAAAATAGAATCGCTAAAAGCTTTAATTCAGTATAACGTTACAACATTATTATGTAACAGTATGTACTTTGATCATTATAAATGTGTTCGTTTTAAAGTTCATATAATATTCAAACAAGCAAAAATCATTTATTTAAATTGTAAAAAAACTGAATTTTTGTAAGTTTTATAATTTGTAGACAGCATATTATTATTATCATGATCCGTAGTCGTTTTCGTATTTTCAGTTTTAGTTAGAGAGTAACAATTTTTTTTTTTTGTTTATCAAACATATTTTTCATTCAACTTAAATTAAAATATCAATATGTTTTGGTTTACTATGTAACTTGCGTACGAATCAAACTTTTTATCGTACCTACTGAACTATTCCTACTTAAAAAGTTTTGTTACGAATATAATGCCTAATACAGTAACTATAACCATTGCGCCAATGGATTTAGTTTGGGTAATACAAGTATTGAAGTATAAAACAGAACCGATAAATACAGAAAAATGTAATCTGTCGGAATAAAAATTACACGCGAAATCTTCTCAGTGATGACACCGAGGAAAATAAATAAATATCAAAATAAAAATCAATGTCTCTTTTTATTAACATAAAAATATAATGCATTGAATATTTTTATGTGTACGGAGACTATATTATTGATATTCTCCTGAAATATAAAACCCTCAAAATTCCTGCTTTCGTGGCTCAACCAGACTTCGTTTCTAATATAAAATAATAATATCCTAGCTAGAATTATACAATAACAACGAAAAGATTAACGTCCAGTTCCGTCGCCATCTCACCAATATAATACAATATTTTTTGATCAACGCTTTTCTGGCTCGAGACCTTCTTAAATAAGAAACAACAACAAAAATATATTCTCATGATAGACAATTTATTTCAATAAAAATAATGTCAATATATATTACGCAATGGCATTTCTGCATCGATTTATTTATTACTAAAAAATCATCTATCTATAAGGTACTGCATTCTAAGGGAGGGGGGGGGGGGGGGGAAATCGGAATTACGTACAATAACTTCACTAGTTTAGAGCAGCGTTACACTTTTCTCTCTCATCTTATAATTAATAAGACTCCACACAAAATTATGTTGTTATTTTTCAGTTCGTTTCACGTTTCACGTAGGACAGAAACCAAAAGGTCACGGACATACTCAAGACATATATAGTCAGTAGAGCAGAGAACATTTGTTTTTGTGTCTTAAAATGTTCAAATGCCATTAATTTTTAGTTTTATATGTATTTTATTTTCTTAATAACGACGGCGATAACACGACGCAATAATATTAGACAGTGGAAAAAAAAAAAAAATGATACTAGAAATTTGAAATAGATTTTTTTTGTAATTTCATAGTCTTGAATTACTATACCAGGTGTTTTGCAAAGTACCCACACTCCATTTTTTTTATGAATCTATTCAAAATCTGGTTTTTTTAATGCTTTGGTAATTCTAACTTTTCAAGCAACATATTTTCAATTATTTAGATTAAGCAATATACCAATTAAGCAGTGTTCAGTGAAGATACCTAATAATTTTTTTTAAATGACAATTATTTTCTTGTTTGAAAATGTTGGTGTATATATTAATCTAAATTCGACCGTGTAATTGTTGAGTATTTAACTTCGTTTACTAAGAATGATATTATTAAAATATTCGTTGAAGAATGAAACGATTCAATCTATAAACATTTTATATTTCTTAAAAATTATCCTAGTGTAATAATTATTACTAGAGTAAATATTATATCTATTTTATAGTCTTGTAAAATCATTTTTGAGGACTTTTATCCTTAGAAATTATATTATACAATTTAATAACTAAGAAATTATAAGTTGGAATTTTTAATTAGATAAATCAAGATTTTAATAAAATCATCTGAATACATTAAAACATTTTAGTTCTTAATTGAAAAAAGAAGTTTGAATAGCCAAAGGGCACTTCTTATGTAGTAGAAAAAAAACAAAATAATCGAAAAAACGATCTTTGAATATACCTAAATTTATACTAATTTTAGAATTTGAATACATTTATTATTAATGCAACAGATTATTGGGGCGAGCGTGCTTGGCGAATCACCTTTTATAATTGAAAATGTATTATTTAAAAAATATATTCTAATATATTTTAATTACTTGACATTAATTGTTCTAATTATTTTGAAGAGATTATCTATATAAACTCTTGTTGAACCCAGTCAAGTGACGTCCTCTTAACCTTAATCTCGTATGTATAATTATAACGATGGTATAATCAAATAAATTAAAAGGCAAGACCCACTTAGCGTGGGCTGACTCGTCATCGTCTTTCTTCGACCCTGAGACCTAGAAACTTCAAATGGCGCTTGAAGATTCTTTAACAGGCTAAGTAAACGAGCATTGGTACAGAATTTTTTCATGTCAAAAATCACGTGACACAGACCCATGAAATGTACCTACACTTAATTATGCGATGCCACGAGAAAAACCTAGACAATTAGGTTTGGTAGAAGTAGTGATGCGACCGTCAACAATGCATTTCAACAGGAGTAAGTAAAATGTTAAAAGAACATTTTTTTAAAATTATATAAAAATAGCGTTAAAGTGTTTATTCTAATTTAAAAAAAAAATTATTTAAGAGTCGGGTAAGTTACTTGGGAAAATGTCTAATTTCCATGCCTTTTTATCATAATCGGTTAAAATGAAAAATATCTATATTTCATTGGAAGGGCGAGGGAGCCCCTCACTTATTAGCATTTCCGTTATCGATGTACGTAACATGTATTACTAAGGTTTATTTATATTCGTCAAGGAAATAATTAAAATACGAGACGAGTGAAACATTTTTCTAAGAATTTCATTTCACAATATAGAATCTCAGATTGATATTATTTAATTAAAATATATACTAACTTAACGAGTAGTTTAATAGTTATATTATGTGTTTAAAATTTCGATGTACGAAGTGGAGTAGCACAGATGATCCACCCCTCAAAATGTTGGTCCGTCAAGCTTCACTCACCAAGTTCTAAAATATACTTATAACTTATAAGTTATAACTAATTAAATACTATATAGTTTGAAATAAGATTTATACAAATAGTGATTCTTAGAAAAACATTTTGCTTTAGAACATTAAATTAAAAATGTATATTGTGCTGATTCATGCACTATGTCTCATTCCAAAAAATTAAAATTAAAAACAAAAAAAACTATTAAAATAGGTAAAGCTAGTTGTAATGACTACAGAGAATGTAAAAAAATTGATTTATTCCAAAATAGTTTATACTTTTCGAGAATATGATGAGTGTTTAACTAAATAAATCAATCATCATACATTTTGTATACAAAAATAATATTATGTAAAGGTCAATAAATTTACTCCATAAATTATTTGAGATGCCATTTTTAGTTTTATTCGCTTAATATTATTTACTTACTGGGGCCGACCAGGACGTCGTAAAATTTAGTTAAACGAGTGGATAAGTATCAAACGTTTATAATTCTTTAATTACAAAGTTACATTCCGTGTCCCCGCAGCTATAATATTATGAGGATAACCGTAATCTAATTGAAGCACAACATTTCAACGGTATCCCATGACATGGCCCCGCTACGGTTTGTTAGACGCATTACAATTAAAGCTTTAGGTTTTTTATTTTTTTATTAACAGCCGGTGTGTGATTTTATAACGTTGCAACGACATTGTAGAGTGCGTGTCGGAGATCAAAATATTTTTGCGTTATCATACGAATAAACTCGTTTTTCAAAAATTTCGGAATCTAATTGAAAAAACAGATTATCATAATATTATTCGTTTTTTAATTATTTGTTTTCATTATTTTTCACTACACACAAATAGGTATGAACATACTGTTATAATGTTTCAAAGATAATTTTTGACCTGCCACCCTCAACACTACGGCGACGACAGAATCGTCATCACTGTTTTGTTTTGCTGTAAAATATTCATATAGTAACCAAACCAAAGAAACTTACATTTCGATTAAGTGTCTTAAACTTATATTTCACAAAATTAATTATATTTAATTAACAGAGTGATACATTTTTACTGTAATATTATTCATTATCACAAAAAGTGTAGATAACCGTTATTGAAAAAAAAAACCATAAGCTTTGAAATAATTATAAAACAACATTTTTGAAAAATAAATAAATAAATTTCTTGTTAAAAATTGTTATACTATTTTTCTATTTGGACATCAACATTTTTTTTTTATATATTATATGCCGAAGGAGTAAGCAGAACAATATGAGAATTTTGATGTATAAAAATCGAATTTCAAATGAACATTTAATTATAGCTAATACTGCAACTTATTTAAACTTCAAATAATTATAATTTATAAGTTTTAGAGCTTGGATGAGCAGAGAAGTAAACCAACGTTTTGAGGGTGCTTATGTACCACACCACATTACTCCACACCACACAACACTGCACTACTTAACACTGTAAATACTTTTAAATTTGAACTCTTAGTAATTAGATCAAAATTTAAATTGTAATTTACTGTCTTAAAATTTCATGAAATTTATTTTTTTCATTTTTGAGAAGGATCAAAATTAATATATTCAATTTTCAAACTTAAAACTTATCGTAATTACAGCATAAACCCAAACGCAATTAAAACTATTTAAGTACAATTTATGACTTAAATGTGTTTACAAGAATACACAACACATTATACACACAACAAAATTGCATATTAAATAAATGCTTCATAATTAGGCACCTACCTAAATGTTTGGATATATTATTAATTAAATAATAAATCTACATTTATTATTTATTAAAAAAATGTATAGGCCGATACATAAAGCCGATGGATAATATTTTCTTTAAATATATGCAGCTAAACAATTCATCTGTGGTTATCTGTGGTGTATATCGTAATACACAATTTTCAGTTTACAGAAATAATTACACACATTTCATGCTATAATATTTTCATACTTATTTTATAACTATTATATAATATTGAGTAATATTATGTTGATGACACATGTCGTTTTTATAATTAAGTTTAAGACTAAAACCTCTAACATACAAAGTATTGTTTTTTAAATTAAAATAGTTAATTAATTCTCTTATATAATATAACATTTATAGGCAATTTGCATAATAATATAATACTAATTATTATAATATATTATTAACATAATATACTTAGTACTTTCTGAGGACCCATGTATTTAATATTTTGAAATAAAATACTATTCGATTTATTGAAGACGGGAGTACATTATAATCTGTTATATTTTTAATAGTTCGAACCCTTAAGTCATAGTTTGTCAGTGTGACCATCTAGTTATAAGTTATGACTCCATGTAATATTAATACAAAATTAATAAACAAATATTTGGAATATATGTATTTCAATATTCCGAGAAGAGTAAAATTTTCAAGATTGGATTATTTTATATTAATAACCCAACATTTTTATACAACAAAATCCTCAGAAACGTTCTATTTCGGATTAAAGATGAAAGGTGATGTAATTTAAAAAAAATAATAAACTTGAAAAATGTATCAATAATAAAGATATTAAGTGATAAATGTTTAAAGAATTTCCCAGTGGTTATGTATACAGGGTGAATTGCCAAACACGAAAACCCCTCTTTTAGCTTCCAATAGTACCTATATTTATTCAAATACTAGTTTCAAACAGTTTTGAAGTCATTTAAATATCATATTTTCCAGTACTTATTTTTTTTTATACCATACAAAAGGTATCCTGTGAAGATAAAAACATTTTTTTTTTCAAATGAGGACTGTTTTTTTTGGTGGCGAAATTTGACGGGTTAGTCATATAATATATAGCAAGTTATTAAAAATTAAAATAATATGTACCTACAGATTCGAGGTTAATCCGTTGTATTGGCACACCAATTTTATTTTGTCATTTTTTAAATAAGTTTTTTAATTCTAAGTATTAAAATAATAATATAAAATGTCACTTATGTTAGGTTTTGATGTTACATGACTCTTGGATAATTACTTACAACTATAAGTTAAGAACGAATATAATATTTTTAAAAACACAAAATGGACTTAGACAATTAATAGTGGAGTGGTGTAAATAAATCACCCCATTCACCGTATAAGTAGTTATGTTTAGAATTCAAAGCTCAGCAGACTGTAAGTTGATGTCGCGAAAAGATTTTGGTTTGTTCCCGGTATCGGAAAACTTATTTCGCAGGTATCTTATATGACCTTGCTACGGAGAAAAATTTTACGATTACTTACCTCCGTCAGCAAGCACATTTGATGTCAAGCGAGTGTTTGATGATGGTAACGCAATTCTTTTTAATTGGAAAGATGTTCGCAGAAATTACTTATTTTTCCCGACTGTTGCACCTGTAAGCACATGACGATATTAATATTTAAGATGAAAGCGATTTTGGCTTATTTTAGCGGCAACAGCTTGATGTTATTTGAGCCCAGTGGTAGAGATTTAATTTTCGTCGATCATGTATGGTTAAAACACAAAAGTAAATTAAATTGGTAGAAATAAAGTTATTCGTTCTAATTAGACTTTGTTTTGCAAATATAATTATTAAACATCATATTAGTATGCATTGTATCATATTAATAATTAGTAAAAAGTATAATACATGACAACATGGAGACATAAGGATTATAATAGGAGTATAGATAATGGAAAAAAGATCAATAGACAGAGTGAAATGGAGGACTTTTATTGTTGCGAGCTTGCGGTGAGGGACCTTAATGTTTTATTAAAAATCAAACGCACCCACTCACAACATTTATCAAGCAATGCTCGAATTTACAACCAGATATTTTAATTTATCGGTGGTAGTATTTTACTGAGTATTCTGTATAATGTAACTCCATTTAAATCTACGCCCTAGTTTTAATTGACAATAATAGCATCGGCCGTGACCCCCTGCTCCTTGTGAACGCCCTCAAATGAAACTTATGTGTTTTTGTTTACGGCAACAGGAAAAGAAAATTCAGTTGTCACTAACACATTCTGTGTGTTATATTATAATATTATTTACTATTTAACAGTCAAAATTATAACAAGTCGACGTGCCACTAAAGGGTATTTCATAAATTATAATAATAAAGCTGTCGATTCGAGACTAAATTGGTCGATACTCGTGTCCATATATATTGCAGCCGAAGTCATAGCGGGCGGTAACCCCAGCCGAGATGTCTGGGGTTGTTGTTATTTTTGATATTAAAAATATTATATTACAAGATTATTGACATATTTTAAATTATAAAAATGTCTGAAACGCTTAACCATCCGTTACAGCGGATATAAGCTAAAATAAAACATAAATAATCGAAAACTCTGTGATGTTTTTTAATGTTAATCATCTAAGAAAAATTATTTTATTGATTGTCCTTCGCCGTAGGTAATTGAAATTTAATTACATAAATAATATAACCAACAGTGAGAAAATATTTTATAGGTAGGTAGGTTAAAAATATATTTACATATTAAATTTATAGATATACTAGATTTTAGTTCTTCATGTGCGCTTCTTGCCAAAACATGTCTAATCATACAATTTAAAGTACGACTATCCTGCAGTCGTTTATTGTAAAATAATAAAAAATTTCTTTGAACTATATGACTATGATGGACGTTGCTTAAAGAAAACTATTTATAGAATTCTTTTCTCTGACGTATTTATTACGAAAAGATTTTATTTCGTATATTCCATCACCTACGACCTACCACGGACAGCTTTTAGTTTGTTGTGTTTTTTTTTTTGTTATGGTGTCGGTTGACCTACTTCTCTATTTGAGATCTCAAGACACATTTCCCCGATTAGAAACCAAACTGAACGGATGGGTAATAGCTTAAATCTATTTGGAAAAACGGTGATTTCGACCCTCGATTTGGCTGCTCGTATGAAACACGCTTGGTTCAATATAATGATTGTGAAATCGCACACCCCACAAGGGTGCAGCGTGTTCGATACAGAATGGGAGTCGATAAACACGAAAAATAAACGAGAAACATAATAATAATATATAAATAAATAAATAACAATATTGTCGTCAAAATAAGGCGCCTACAATAAAAATATATTCTTCGACTGCTTCTTATATTTTGCCGATCCATCACTCGTCGAATGCATATTTTCTTCCATCATTTTTTTTTTTTACCAGACATTGCAATTTTCCGGATCGTTTTCCTTCGAATATCACCTCCCACCATAACAATACCTCGTGTAACGATGACCGTCTACGACGAAAAATAAAACAGCACAGTCGCGAGTGAGTATCTATGTCGATCTCTCGTTTTCTTGACTTTTTGAGGAGGGTCGTGCCGTGGATTCCTCTAGGGTTAGCGTACACAAATGTCCACAGGGAGGTTGTGTATGCCGCAAGTATGTGTGCGAAAATACTATTTTTATTTGACTCACGATCTGAAAACGTTCACGCGACGCCACCGCAGTTTGTCATCGTTTGTTATTATTAATAATATATTACGTACACGACAAGCCGTTTTATATTTATTATCAAAGTTTGTAAATACTTTTGGAGTCTGTCGGACATAGATATGGCGTCCAGTATAGCCATAAATTATTTATACGACGTACGTATTTATTATATAATTTTATATAATAATAACGTTGTATGTACACGTATCTTACGATCTATAAAATATTATACCATATAGCTCTATAATAATATTATGCTTAAGTAGTTAGGTATATAAATTAAAGTCGAGAGGAAGACACTATTTATCGCGTGAAAATCGTATACAGTTTAAAGTTTCAGACGTTACAGTAAAACGAACGACTATATTCTATGATATTCATGATTAATATTTTTATTCGTTATCGTTCTGTATTGCATGGTATTTTGTATATTATACCGTTTATTGTAATTTTGGCTCAAGCTCGTTTGTTTAAATAAATAAATATTATTTGTACAAAAATATCGCAATTAGAATAACTGACCACTTGCTGCAACTCAGTTACCGATTAGTTATTACAATTTCACAATTTAATCAACATCTTTATTTTTAGCGAAAAACGAAAAAAACTATCGCAATAAAATTATTAAATTAAACATTGCTATGCATATCGCATATTCTTATACTTGCTCGAGTCAAAGTGCAGTGGTCTCTAAGTACGTTTCACTAGCGACTCAAAGGGATGTTGGGGAGGGGGGGGCGGGGATACAAACTTTTTTTTTAAATTTCTTGGGTCATGATTATTCTAATCATATTAGAAAATATGATAACCCTCAAATACTCCATAAATCATATTATATTACACGGGTAGTGGATATTAATAATACATTATACTTAACACGTCGATGACGTGGCACTTCAAATAAAGTGGCACCTGTCCTTAATCTATATCATAAACTATGCTGTATGGTTTCAGACGCTTAATAGATGCTATTCTAAATGCTAACATTGCATTTTTTATAATTCACAATTGATTAGTATGGATTTATGTGATTATATTCAGAAATTGTGAGATACTGGTTTAAGAACAAATTCAAAAAGAACATAGAAAAAATGAATTTTGATTTTTTTGATTTTTTTTCTTTTTGGGTGTTAGAGGAACTCATAAATTAAAAAAGAAGAAGAATAGCTTGTTGAGAAAAAAACGAGTGGCGAAAAATACTCCGGAAATCTAATTATTTTAAAAATTTGTATTTATTTTGAGAAAAGGATAGAGGTTGATGAAGATGATTGGCAAAATGCATGTCCGTAGTCTTTTAGTATTCCGAGTAAATTGTGACAATTTAATAACCTATAGCTCGTCCAGTAATCGTGCTCCCTATAATGGTACACTCAGTTTCTGGTTAAAATGTAAAACAAAAGCTTAGTTATTTTATAGAAGAATTAAGAAAATTAGGCACCAAGTCTATTCAATAATGCGAACGAGTTATATATTTTTTAATATTTTGTACAATAAAGATAAACACAGGTATCTTATAGGTCAATGGTAAAATTATCTTTTTTTACAAACCTCAGCTAATCTGGAGTTTTTAATCAGGCAGCCTTTATTATAGTCTAATAGCTGTGAGGTTACTATAAGATACGACACTTTTATTTTATTCTATGGTACGAAACCACAAAATAATAAATTACAGTAAATAATATATTTTATAATATCATATCTTGATAGATGCGTTTTAGATTTCACCCCAAAAACAAATAAGCGGACCAGACGCGATGACATTATTATTGTCATCGAATGACGTCCGATCGCTGTCAACAACAATAATGTCGGCTTGAAATATTGCGTCGGTCGTTATTCGTTTTACAATAAAACTAGTCATTTGGCAAAGGCACAACCTAGTACTAATTCATTTGGGAGAATTAAAATTATTTTTGACAATTTTTTGTGTTGTGAATTTTTTGATCAATGTTAATAATAATTGTACCCTTTTTCTTTAAATACACTTTTACTTATTAGTCGTAACCGCGATATTCATATTATTTATATCTACGGACTTTCAGTTTTAACGACACGGAAGACAAAAATGTATTGTACAGTAAAATTTCGCCTAAACGCAGTACACCATATTAATAAATGTTGATTAATTATAGTTTAGTAAGGAAGTGTTGATGTAATTTTCAGTAAAATTGTATGTACTCACCTCAAAAATAAAAGGTGTTGTCTGCTCCACAAGCCTACAGGATTTTGGAGACAGACATTTATAAAGTTATTAAAAATGTATTTGTATAATTTATGCTTTAAATGTAATAAAATATTATTTCTATTATTATTATTAAATGTATATTATTACCTGAACACAATGTACTATTATTTGCACAAACTCAGAATACAACGCTAAACATCGATTGCAACGAACGTTCAAGCTATCAGCAAACGAATATTGACAGAAATAAAATACATAACACACGTCCCACTTGTATACTTGTTGCACGCGTTTACGTCACGAAAATCGACATTCTCCGTCAACAAACGTCGCAGTAGTATTGAACGAAATTGTTTTTTCACGTATTATTGGTAACTACCAAAGTATATTCGATTTAAATATTATGAGAGAAAAAAATAAGCCTCAACTTTTATGTGGCGATTAACAATGAAAACAATAGTAATAATATTGTGATTAAGGACATTTCAGAGTTATTTTTTCTCATGAACTTCAATTAATTATTATTACCATTCAAAATATCATGTGATAACCGACAACCAAGTAATAAATCGTTTTGCTAACAAATTTAGGCTATCAATGGTATCGTTTAAGGCACGTAGGTAGCTGCAGTTTAGATAGTTTCAAATGTGGCTTGCCCACCTTTTGAAACTATGCCTAAACAAATAATGGAAATTTAATGGAAAAAACTAATTTGATTTAGTTAAGTCAACGATGTTATATTGTGTTAACAGCAGATAACAAGTTTAATAAACATTATATATTTTACTTTAAAACAGTGAATATGGATGCAAATATAAAATATTAACATAACTCTGTTAAAAAGAATTTAATTAATTTTTTTTTATTACCACCTCGGTAACACGTATTATGGCGATTGTGCAATTTCAAACATTTTAAAATAACAACTGAACATTTTAAAATATATATATTAAAAATGCATACTACTGTTTTTTCCCAAAGTATACTCGAACCGTAGTATTTTAGACAGTTACACTGTTGTGTCAACTTAATTATTGAATCAGACGTGTTTATTTGTTTATTTTTTCGTTTAATAGTGTATACTTACAGCGTGATTAAATACAAAATAAAATGTGTTTATGAATAAGTTATAGTGTTATTATAGGTCTTTGGAATAAACGTGATTATAATTTATAACTTAACATATTATTTTTCAAATTAATGACTGGAAAAATGGTAAACTGTTTCAATGAATAAGCCCACGATTAAAATCATCTAGTCCACTAACTTTTTTTAAAACATCAAGGAATTAATTTAATTATGAAATTAATCTTTCAACTCGACTTTGCATTTTCAACTATACAGTTATATATTGCCCATCTTTGGGTAGTTCTGGGATATTGCAGAGCCGCTTGACGTGGAAATCTGGACTCGCCGTAGGATACTTTAGATTTATGTAATAATATATTTTATAGCGCAGTGTAGGCTCCTACAAAATGGAAAACAAAAGCGTCCGTCGAAATAACTCATAACATTATTGTATAATAATTCACGCTTTTACCAAGAGCTGCTATGCGAACGAGCATTAAACGATACGATTATTGTGCGTATTATGTACGAACCGGACGTAGCGAAATAGTGAAAGAAAAATCTGAAAAGCGACCACGTTGAAATTGCACTCATTTTCGAGTAGGTATGGGTATTGGTAGGTGGGTACACTCGAGTTTTTATGCGATATAATATATTATTATTATGTTTGCGAAAGAAACGTTCCAGCCACTATAATACATAATATTATATAGCTTTGAAGCGGTCGTTAAATCCAATGATAGTAATAATAATAATAATAATAATATTCTGCTTCAGCGTTCAATTAACCGAATAAGGTCAAGTGTGGTGAACAGCTTCGTGTAGACGTTTGGTAAATATCCTCTAATTGTGACGGTGAATAGGCGCGATGGATTAACCCGGAAATTGCACAGGACAATTAATGTGTCATTTGCAATTTTGAAACATTGAAAAATTGAAAAAAATTTGAGTACCTTGTAATTAATTTGAACTCGAATAACAATAACGTATTATTTTTAGCAAGTTTCGATTTGAATTATCGAGGTTCGAACACGAAGCCATTTCTGCTTCGAATTAAATTCTTACACAATATATTATTACAAATATTAGGTTATTTTTTGTTGCTGTATTTTTAAAGTTTTTTTAGAATTTGATAGGAGCGATGGATGCATTGATTTTATAATGATAATATGTGTTGACATAGATATGTCTTTTGTCTGGATACATGTTTTTTGTTTCAACCGATTTTTAGTAAGGTTGTCATGATTAGTCTTACTAACTAAAATATGTTTATGATTCATGGATTTTCCTCGTAGAGTAAAAATATCGAGTAACTTGGTATGGTTTTCTATCTGTCATTTCATTTAGGAGTAACAAAAATTCTTCAATATTCAACTTTTATAAAAAATTGCATTAATTTTTGTACTAGATGGTATTAATAGATTTATTTTAAAACTATATGATGATAAGTAAATTATTTTTCTCAATCAGTTTTATCCCGTTCCTAGTTTGTTTGTGTATGCTCAAATTTTATAATTTACAATTTTTAGCAGCCTGCGCATACCTAATTATGCTTAATCGTTATTAATAGTGTTTAAAATAAAAAAATAATAAAACAGAATGCCTCCTGACGACTGAATCTAGATAAAGACTGATACCATCCTACAACCTACCTATGTGAAATACTAGCACCCAACTCAGTGGCGACATCGATATTCCTTTAACTACTTAAAGAGACGAACTTGATGAAGGAAATATGACATTTACACATAGACTAATCTTATTGAAATAAAATTGACACAAGTCTTCTAGGTATCATACTAAAAATATAAAGTATGCATTTTGTAATGAAATTATGTATTATTTCAGAAACTCTAATAAAACTAGAAGTCGATGCGCATAAGTAAATAAATAAAAAAAAGTGTTTAAATAGTTTCATTTTGTAGGTTTTTAGTGTTTTTTTTTTGATTTTACTCAACTATCCTGTGCACAATGGACTTTGTACATCGTACATATTCTTTATACTATTGGACATAATATTATTCGCTGTGTATACGACTGTTGTAGTTTTTTCCATGAGAAATTTTATCGTTTTTAAATGTCACTCTTTAGTTGCCCAGGACGGTGAATTAACGATGGATTTTATATTTCCCGAGTTATCTGACGGGTTTAAACCACTAGCTATTGTCTATTGGTAGTTGGTACAATGGTTTATACCGATGAATTTTATTGTGTGCGAAAGTAATAATACAACTAGACACTTGGCGTGTATAATATTATAACGGAAATTTGTTCACATTGCTTCAACGATTTTATTAAAAATTCGGATTCCTATCATACTCTTGTGTTTTATTTTTGACGATGGAATCTGGGTGTTTTCAATACATACTTTTGGCAAAATGCATCCTAAAGTAGCCCTATGACCTGTATATTGCAATCGATATTCGATTCCAACAATTTTGCATCAAAGCTGCTGGCTACTGATCATAGTTCATACCAACTACTTATCAATTCTACAGTCTTTTAATATTAAAAATTAATCATTCGAATTAAAGGTAACTAACTTAAAGATATTGGTAGTTAGTTTGTTGTATAAATATTGAATATGTATAATATATACATTCGCAATCGACAAATATGATGTTAAATCGTAATGCACGATACTTAACTTTTAATTTTGTTTCATAAATATTTCTAAACTAAAAATACGCTATGTTTTGTTTTTTTAAGCAATATTTTGAACAAGTTAACATAATGTTATGTATAATGTAAGCAATAATATGATATTCTACAAAATATTTTATAGAAATTCCTTAGCACAATATTTAGAGTGATTACACTAATTAAACAAAACAAATCTGAACAATGTGCAAAAAATATTTTGATTAAAAACGGTAAAAAAAATTTGAGACATAATATTGTATTGTGAAAACGCCTATACAAAAATATTGCACTAATATTATATTTTTTGCCAAAAACTGATCCAACTAATAATATAGTGACAACTTTTAAGAAACTTTCTGAAACTAAGAATAAATAATAATATTTGTTGAATGTGTTAAATTTGTGTTGAAAACTTATGATAAATATTGCTAAGATATATTTTTACTATACTTTATATGTTATACCTCACGAGAGTACGATACACACAATGTACAATATACATATACATATTATGTATATATTAACACTAGCTGATCCTTTGCACTTTGTTGCCCGTTAAAAATGCCATTTCTATACTAGAATTGATGGTGATAATGCGAACAGTATATCATGCCTACTTGCTGTGGATTGGATTGAGGACCCTGCTTGGTGAGTACTTTATATAAATAATATGTTTTATTTTTATTTTGATTGCGGAGACGCTGATTAGCATCTATAAATGCAACTCAGCCACCTTGGTAAGCAATGTGCGAAAATTTAATTGTATACATGCTTATACCTGATCTGCCCGATGAACCACCGCTGGCAACCAATAACCAAAAAAAAAATCAATTTCTACTAAATATAGTTATATTTTTCCTATAAACAATAGCAACCGTACATAAACAAATATTTCCTTCGTAAATCTTTAAATCCCTGTTTGAGCAACTCTCCGGGTCGGACCTATCGGGTCCAATTGTGAATCTAAACCATCCAGGGCGTCACCTAAACGCATACAAAAAAAAATTCAAATCGGTCCAGCCGTTCAGGAGGAGTTCAGAGACATACACACGTACTGTAGAATTATGTATATACAGATATTAACATTAATTATCACATATTTTATCATTATTACAATGTGTCGCCGATGAGTTTACTAAAATATATGACACAAATAATTATTATGCAAACAATTAATTAATTATATTACATAAATTAATCGTTTTAATAAAAAATTCAGTAAGATATTAATGCACTCTATGACCTATCGTGGCTTGTTTCTATCATTTTTCATACTATTTGAGACTCGATATGGAATCGACTCATGTCGATGTAATAACATACCTTTTATCAAAAAACGATGTTTCGGTGGAATCGATAAATCCCCCTTCTGCTAGCTATATATTATACAGCACGTCACCGAGCCCAAAGAAAGTATACGAGTTCTAAGAAGAGGAAATTAAAACGATGTTCTTGGCGAGGGAAATATAATAACCATCACCTGGTATGAAAATCATAATTAAAAGTTAT